ACAATGTTAATTGGTCACATTATCAAAATATGTAGGTACTTGGTTTATAAAAGACAAGATTTATCAGAAGTAACATGGAAGCACCTGAGTACCTGACTATATGAGAATGAAACAAGCCGTGAATTTCCAAGCCATCTTAATCCTCTGACAGTGCTGCTATGGACAGCAAAGCTAACAGATATTGCATTAGCTAAAACATCAACAATTTCAATAGTCCCATTCTGAGTTCCTACAGCAACAAGTGGTACTGCTGGAGCAGGATTGTTTCCACCACCTTCAGATAGAAAAAAAGAAAGTTTTCTGTTATGGGAATGTTGAACAAATTTAAAACCTATAATTTCAGAACACGGTACAATGTTATGGTCATGGGCATACGGGCTACTGTGGCAAGTAAAGAAGGGGATGGCACAGCTAGCGTAGTCACAGTGGAGGACAAAAGATGAAGCTGGCCCATCAAATTAATCTGCAGAGCATAGCACAAATGAGCAAACCACATAAGGGAAGTACATAAGCGCCAGGAATAGGGGATATTGATTGATGACTAAACATGTACTCCCTCTATTTAATATTATAAGCCGTTTGACTTTTTTCCTAGTCAAACTTATTTAAGTTTGACCAAGTTTATAGAACAATATAATACAGTAATATTTTCAAAACAAAACAAACATATTATCAAAATATATTCAATGTTAGATTTAATGAAACTAATTTGATATTTTAGATATTGCTAAATTTTTCTAGAAACTTGATCAAACTTAAAATAGAAACGGAGGGAGTACATCTCAATCCCATTAATTTAGGATAATCGAGCTGTGTATAGAAGTATAGGGAATTTGTATAGAAGTATAGGGAATTCAGATTCCAAAGAACCACTATTCCTGCTTAATCATGGTGATACCCTAACAACAGAAACCAAGGAAGAAGTTTACACTACAACCTTTACGGTAAAATCAAGTCCATTGGAGCGCGAATTGGAAATTCCAGCATCACTATGATTCGATGTACCTGGTCCCTTCCCAACATTAGTGACAGAAATGGAATCATCAGTAAATTACACAGTTGAGAGCCAGAAATAGCTATTTCACTGAACTGACCACTGGTTCGCACCTAGTTTATCTTTTCTAGCACATGCAGACTTGTCAAAACTTAAATGCCATGACCAGATCTTGCCATCTTCAGAGATCGAGGTTAGATATGTCATGGTCCCTTGATACATATTTTGGTTTGTATTTGTATCAGAGATGACAGAATGTGTAGATTGTATTTGTCCCAAGTCCCGTGATTGCTTCTCTATGTTACGGAAAACAGCCTCTGACTGCCAGATTGTAGTAGCAAGAACAGCTGGAGGTGGAACAATTGTACCAATTGAAGGCATGAGATCTTCCACCGCACACAACAAATGCACATGTTCACCCCTAGAACCGGAAAAGAAAAAAGAATTACGAGAGGAACTTAATATACTGGAAAGAAGTGTATCATTTATGTACAAACGTAATGTGATCATGCATATATTGGTTCACAATTGTGAAGCCCATATGTCAATAACCTGAACAGATTGTAAAACATATATAGTATAATGTACGATTTCATTAAAATTGTGTCCATTAATAAACAGATCAACGGTCACTAACAGGTGTGTATACTGATTATTCATTCGTTTTACACAGCAACATAATTGAAACTCCAATGGCTTCATAGTAATTATGTGTTTATCAGCACACTCCCAAGGATGTAAGGAATTTCCAAGTTTATCTAGAATTTATTACTATGTACTTGCACCATTTTGAATTCTGTTTTGTTCCTGCATTTTCTATGTAGCCTATTGATTGCACTTGACCACCACAGTCTTATTGCAAATTTAGTTCATACGAGTTCGGGCATTTGGACACAATTCAATAGACATGTTTTCTATATTCTAATTCTACAGTATCCACATGAAAAGTATGACTGTAAACTCACTCCTTGCGCTTCCAGATACTCAGCTTGCCATCAATGTGCGTGCAGTAGAGCAGGTCGAAATCAGGATCAGACATGACATCAGAGAATTTGCCAAATCCCCTGGGCAATGGAGTGACAGAGAGCGCAGTACTGTAATTGAGGTCAAAGACAATGAGCTCCCGCGGGAACGTGACATATAGGATGTTCCTCCACAGCGGGGAGAAGCATAGCTTCGGCGTGAATGCTGGAAACGCGGCGAGGGCCGGGGAGGGCGGGGGCGCCGCTATCTCCTTCTCCAGCCTCTGCAGCTCTGTAATGTCACTGGCGCCGCAGGTCACCCGGTGCTCCTGGAGCGAGATATCAGAGTCCGGCCGCGGGATGGCGGAGAGGAGGAAGCCCCGGAGGCCGATCGCGCAGAGATGCCTAGCGTCGAAGGGGTCACGGCGGAGGCAGGAGAGGTACTCGGGCGAGGCGTCGAACATCCAGAGGACACTAGGGTTGTTGGAGGTCTCCCAGATGCAGAGCAGCGAGGGCCCATGGATGGAGGCGAGGAGCCAACCGGAGGCATGGTGGATCCAGCAGAGGTCCTGGACGCCGCCGCCGGATCCCGGCGCGACACCGCGGGTCTCGTCGAGGTTAAGCCAGTGAAGGACGAGGCGCGCGCGCGCGTCCCAGACGGCGATGCGGCCGTGGCGGTCGCCGGCGGCGAGGCGGAGCGGGCGGCGTTCGTCGTCGTCGTCGTCGATCCCCGCGGCGTGGAAGCGCGAGCTGGGTGGCACCCAGCGGACGGCGGTGACGAAGGAGGCGAGGGAGGAGGATGGCATGGGGAGGACGCAGAGGAGCTGCATGGTGCGCGGGTCGGAGATGACGACGCTGCTCCCCGCGCCATGCGCGAGGAGCCCCGCGGGGCTGAGGTCGATGCACCCGCCGTTGCCGCGGCCGGGGGGCCCCGGGAGCATCATCGCGGTGGCGCTGCCGCCGGCGCCGCCGCCGGCCGCATTGCCGTGCAACCGCGACGACGGTGAGGCGCATGACGCCATCGCGCGCGCGCGCGGCGGAGGCGAGGGCGAGGGCGAGGAGGACGCGCGTGCGCGCTCTCAGATCTCGTCGCGGCGAGGCACCATTTTTTTTCCTGAGATTGACGAGAAATTGAGTACGGTGCGGGGTGGGTGGGAGGAAACCGGAAAAGCGGAAAATGGGAAGGGAAGAATGGAGGTGGACGAGATCTGGCTTGTGACTTGTCCTAGCCGAACCATGGAGTGCTTTGAGATTCGTGCATGGGAACAACCGCCCCCGTGTCTATCCGTTCCTCCGTTTGTCCAGGACCGACCGATTGGATAGGCAATCAACCACACAATTATATGCAGTAAGATTTGTCTAGTTTAAGAAATGAAATGAATTGAATTACTAAGTAATGTTAGTGTCGACGTTTGATGTCGCGATTCCGGTATTTGCATGGTATGGGGATCGTCGGTACTAGGATATACGCGAGACTGAGATAAAATAGATGGAGACAGGGATTTTTATACAGATTCGGGCCCCTGAATTGTCAGGTAATAACCCTACATCCTGTTGGCCGAAGCCGGTATTGCTCTTATTCACCATAATCACACCAGTACAATATTTGGGGTAGCCTATCTAACTGTTGTCGACATGGCGGTCTAAAGGTCTGACTCGTAGTCGACAACAGGGTAGTCTTCTTCCTCGAGTTCGTGCCCGACGAGATCAGAGACAGCGCTTTCGTCTCTCTTGACAGTATCCGGAGACACCGTAGGGGACTAACTGTACTTATCTCTGAAGTCGATATCCTGCGTCTTGTCTTGGCGTATGCTGGCTTCTATGCTGATCTTCTGTCTTGATTTATTGTTCCGTGTCTTCTATGGTGGGTCTTTTTCATGGTGGGTGTGTTGATTGTCCCCTCTCCTCCTAGGGGACCTTGTATTTATACCCATAGGTATCCCCTTGTCCAAATAGAACTAGGGAAACCAATATGGATACAATCCGCGTAGTCCTTGTCGTTTCCATGTAGAACTCTAGTTGTCTTTCCTTATCCGGAACTCCTCCCATATCCGCAGGTTGTTTCCGTATAAAACATGGTATGTGGTGGGTCTTGCCGAGATTTAGTCAACTACTATTAGGTATGTGGTATTCATAATTCTGATAGTTAGTTTCAATATAAGTTTCATTCTCATTAAATTGGGTGCCGTGCCAATATTTTTATGATATGATAAGAGATAAATGAAGTGAGAAACGAAATGAATTTCATCTAGATGAAATCATAACTATACTGTTTTGCAATATATTTTGTCTCTTGCATGTAAAACCTGTGAAACAACAAAAATAAAATAATGTATCGTTGAGCTGTTTCAATCATCAAATAAATGCCTTGTTACTTATGTTGCATCCTTAAAAATATAAAAACGACGCCTCCCAACTCACCTTTTTATTCGCAACTTTATGTGATGGAGATGTTAAAACTTTGACCATTATTTTTCAACTTATGTGGACAAATCTACATGGACCTGGAGCCTCTCTTCATTTTGGTTGTTTGGAGATTTGAAATGAAAGAAATAAGTGGATTATGGTTGCAAATCATCAGCGTATATCTGACAAGCGGTGATTTTAGCATATGGGAGGTTGAAGATATTGCGAGAATATTGCCTAGCGATACTTACTTTAGGATATGTTTGAGGGTATGTGAAAGAATTTTTTTAAAAGACACGTAAAATGAGTTAATCCAATAGCACGTGGTTACGCGAGTATTAATTAGTTCAAATTTAAAAAATAGATTAACATGATTTTTTTTAATGATCACCGGAAGGGAAAGGTGATTAATATGATTTTTAAATCAACTTTTCTCTATACATATTTTTATGAAAAACATATCATTTAGCACTTGAGAAAAATGTGTATGTTGAACATGAGAGACTTTTCGGGCATGTTTAGATTGTAGCCAAAATAAACCTTACCAAAATTTAGCAAGATGGTAATATTGCCAAAATTTTAGCAGGATTTCTTATGTATTTATCAAATTTGGCAACTTTGCAAAAAAAAAGATATGGTTGAAAATGACATCAATTTGAACTGCCCCTTCCTCCCTTTGTATTCCGTTGGTATTCCACTTTTCCATCTATTTTCTGATGGTATTTCGCTGTCTAAAACTTTAAATCGAACCCACGCAAATCAGGAGGATGACAAATATTACTACAACCTTCGTTCCAAAATATAATAGATTTAACACAAGATAGTGGCATAAATATAGGGCATTAGAGTATGTCTTATATGGTGTTATATATATTTTTTCGGAACTGCGGGATTAGTAAATTTTCGTCACTAATCAGTTGCTGCAGCTCTGCTGTCCGCAAGCATCGCGTGCAGGCTGCAGCGCGCGCCGCAGATCCTGCACCACCTGCGACATGGCCGGCCGGAACTCCGCTTCCTGCTGCGTGCACCGGCTGATGACGTCGGCGAACCGCGACATGGACCTGACCGTCGCCGGCGTCCCGAGGCGCGGGTCGGCCATCTTCTCCAGCGCCGTCAGGTCGTGCAGCCGCGAGCTCGCCCACGCCACCAGCCGCCTCTCGCCCCGCGGCCGCGCGCCGTCGTAAGGCCTCCGCCCCGTCAGAAGCTGCAGCATCACCACCCCGAAGCTGTACACGTCGCCCTTGTCCGTCCATGGCGCCGCCGCCGCCTCCGGTGGCTCGTAGCTCAGCGCGTCGAGCCAGCATTCCGACTGCTCAAATCGACACCGATCGATCAGATGCACATCCAAGAACAAGCTGATCGATCAAGCGGTGTCTACGAAACGATTACCTGAAGATCCAAGCCGGATTTCACAGCCGCAGCAAGGCCGCAGCCGGACACGCGCACACGCATCTCGCCGTCGACGAGCACATGTTCAGGCCTGAAATGCTGGTGCACAACCTGTCTCTGACCACCTTCGTGGAGGTACCTAACGCAAGAACAGCAATGGCAGAAGCGATTACCGATTACTCACTTCAGATTCAGAAGCCAGCAAGACAAACACTCGAATTATTCAGCAAATTGAAGATGATCATGGCAATGGCGTACTCTAGAGCTTTCGCAGCTTCGAGTGCGACAGCTACCCGGGCATCCCATGGAAGAGTGATCTTGGCAGCAGGATCGTCTGATGATGCCAGTTTCTTCAGATGGATCATGTCGTCGAGAGTTTCATCGCTGAAATGCTTGTAGACGAGCAGCCTCTGTCCGTGCTCGACGCAGCATCCTGCAAGCTCCTCGATGTTGGGATGCTGGAGTTCAGAGATTCTCTGAACCATCCTCAAGAACTCGTCCACCGGCATTCTCGCCATCGCTTCGTCAAGCTTCAGTACTGCAAACTAGTATAAGGTGTAGAGAGATCAGAGATGAAATGACAAGATCTTGATTACAACTGATCAAGAAATAAACTTGTTCAATCCATGTAGGAATGGAATGGAGATTTCAGGGTACAGTTGATTAGATACCTTGATGTCTTGCTGCTCTGCTAGGTAGATTTTTCCGAACAGGGTTTGCCTCATCAGATTCTGCTCACTGAAACTGTTGGTATACTGTTGCAAGGATGCAACTGTGAAGATTGTGAACTTGAATTGCAAAGGATGGTTTTGTAAACTCTCCTGAACATTCTTCTGATATGAAGAAATGCTACCCTTGGTATCCTTCTCTTCAGCAACTTCAGTGATCAACACAACAAACAAAATGATTAAAATGTAGATGAGATGACTGCACAAGCTAGCGTTTTATGTACTGAATTTTTTGAGCATTAATAATTGTTCTAAGATTGACCTCTTAATATGTCACTGACATGTGGGCCCAAGATAGGAAATACTCCAGTTTTCAGTCGGTGTATATACCTGTGCTTTGTTCTTTGTCTACCTTGACAACTGCACTTTGTCCTGAAGGCTTCCCACTCCAATCCGGAGTGCTCATCTCAACTCCTCTCAGAAATCCTCCATGAAGAGACGTCTCCCGCCGCCGTTTCGACACGGCGAAGACGATCAGGACCACGGCAATGGTCAGTGAGCCGGCGGCGAGGATGCTGAATCCGGCGGCTTTCGCCGGCGAGACCTTCTTGCCGTGTCTCGGAGGGTCACCCTGTGCAGCGCCATGTGGAGTGGCCGGAATTACATATATAGGAGGGTGTGAAGCACCTGATCGAGGCGCCGCCACCGCTGCCGCCGGAGTCGGAGGAGAGCCGGGGATGGTATCCGGAGTTGGAGAAGAGCCGGGCATCGTGGGGATGGTAAGATGGTTGCCGTTTCTCCTGCACACAATCAAGAACCAACTGTTGTGTCAGACTGGGATGCCACTAGATTAAATTCTACTGTTCTTGAGGAAGGCTGAGAGATTTACAGAAATTTTGGGATGTTGATCAGTTTCTCTGGGATTGGTCCTGAGAAAAGATTGTTCTCTATATCCCTGCAAATATTAGTAAATCATGAGAGGATCAGGTGAGAAATGCATCAAGGTAAATATGTGTGATTTTTTTTCCTGGACAGAGCATGTGTGAATTGATGTAGTGATTACAAGTCTTTCAGGGGAAGATCTCCTAGAACATCAAGTGTGCCAGTGAGCTGATTGTTCTGAACATGCCTACAAGTTGCGGACACATTGCAAATTCAGAGATAAACAAAGAACATTACTGCACACAATTAAGGAGGATAATACTCACAGTGTCGAAAGCGAGTTCAGCTTCGCCATCGAATCTGGGAGTTTGCCACTGAGACTATTCGAAGATAAATTCCTGCAGAACACAATCCAAGAACAACCATCAGTAAGCTTCACCAATTGTCCACAGATGCTGATCTCTGAAGAACTCAACCAACACATCTGCCTGCATCTCACAGTTGTTTTACTGCAGGTGGTAAGCTCTCAGGAATCACTCCCCCAATGCGGTTGCTGCTCAGATCCCTGTCCCAACAATCATACAGTGATCAAAGCAAGAACAAGAACTAGAGACATCAGATATGAAAAAAATGCATTGTGCAAGTCAGTACAATGCTGTCATGGCAGTGAACTTCCCCAGCGTCTCACTCAGCTTTCCTCCCAGGCCTGCACCTCTGAGCTCTCTGTCAGGTTGATACTTTCGTCAGAAATTACAGATTCAGAGTAACCATTGGTAATTATCAGCAGCATCAATAAGAGTCAAGCATTCTAATAATCAGTAATTACCAGCAGCATAAGTGAGAGTGAAGCTAAGCTTACACTTACATTGCAGTGATGTTGGGTCCAAGGCATTGCACCCCCTGCCATGCTTCCATGCAGGGGTCTCCTCCTGAAGAAGCCCAGCCATGGAGGTCAGGCGAGCCCAGCGACGCGTACAGCTCGTTTATCGCATCAACTGCAAGCGACGAAATCACATCAAAATCATCTTGTCTGAAATCAAAATCTTGGTGACAACTGACAAGTGTTGCAAAAAAATACCGTCTTGTGGGCTCGTGAAGGGGCCAAAGAACGGGATGGGGAATGGAAACGCGCGAAGCAGCTGAAGCGAGCAGGAGAGGAGCAGAACCAAGATCACCAGCCTGAACTGCATTGTGCTTCCAATTGGTTTGCTGATCGAATCTAGAAATCTTCGAGGTAAAAATGGTGGTGAGAACTGAGAACAGCATCGATCAGTGTAAGCCAGGTGCACTCCTGATCCTTCTTCTCTCTGTGCCAATTTATATGGAGCAAGCAAGCTTGCATTATAATGCCAATTAATTAAAGCTGATAAGATGTTGATTTGCATGGATTAAGCTATGATTGTAGTTAACGTTAATTTCTGGTCACCCACCTGTTGACTACCATCACCACTCCTCGTCTGGATAACTTATCTGAGTTGCGTGGAGCATCCATTGCTTTTGTTGGTACGTTTCTCAAGTTAACCCTCCTAGACGAAATCAACATGCAGGACTGTCAATTTGTCATTGCAAAAGGAGGGGGAAAAAATAATCGCAGGATTGGTTTGAAAAAGGAAAATCAGGATATGGGAGACAAACTTGAACCTTCGCTTTATGGGCCTAGTCGGCCCTCGGCCCATTCGAGCCCAAACATAACCCTAACATAAGTCTTGGTCCTTGTCCCTCGCAGCAGAATAAAAAATCGCCGCCGCCGCCGCCGCCGCCGCCGCTGCCCGTCCCCGCAACCCAACGCCTGATTCGCTTCTCCATCTGCTTGCATTCAACCGGGTTGTGGAGGAGGAGTAGGAGAAATCCGGTGGATATCGATCGGATCCAGATGAACACTCGACTGGATTCCGGCGGACAGAAGTAAATCCGGAGTCGGTTTTTTCGTAAATCGCAGGTACTCTACGCAATTTTTGATCCTAATTGTTATACTAGTAGTAATACAGTGGGAGATGTGAGTAATAATTGCTGGATTATTTCTGGTTTTTGTACAAGGAGAAATCGAGGTACAGATATTCATGCTGCCTCGATGTGTTGGAATCAACAAGATGAACAATTAACATCCGAAGCACAAAGAATTTCGGATAAATCCAACTAATCGATCGATCGTATATGCAACTAGTGCATATACATATCTAGTAGATTCCTGTTCATAATTTGGAGGAGGAAGATCAGTTATGAGTTACCGGCGATTTGTGAATCTGGTGCTTGATAAGGTCCAAGGCAACTACACAGTGCGGCGCATGGACATGTCACGCTTCTTCCTCCCCCGTAAATTGGCAACGCCGCTGGACGCCGGAGCACACGACGGCGCGGCGGCGGTGGAGTACGGCAATCTGCCATGCCCGGTGATGAGCTTCCGTGCATCGGTCTGCCCGATGGAGACGATGGAGTTCATGCTCCTTGGTGGAAGGCATAACAAGATAGTCGGCACCGACCTGACGGGGCGCACCCTCCTGTACGACCCCGACGAGCACGTCGTCCGCTCCCTGCCCACCCTCCCCATGCCCAAGTTCTCCCCCGTGTCCCTCACCATCGGCGACGACGACCTTTACATCCTCGACGACATCCAGGGCCCGTTCACCGGCGGCCATGATCACTGCTTCCACGCCCTAACCTATAGTAGGGAGAGCTTCACCGACGCCGACGGCGACTGGTGTTGCCACACTCTCCCGCCGCCTCCTTACATGGTGAAGCAACGCGGCGACTTCCAATTCGACTCCTACGCGGTGGTGGATGGGGTGGACATCTGGATATCCAAGCAAGGCGTCGGCACCTACAGGTTCCACACGGAGCGCGGAGAGTGGAGCGCGGTGGCGAGCGGCGGCGAGTGGTGCGCGATGCCGTTCACCGGCCTCGCCGTGTACGTGCCGGAGCACGGCCTGTTCTATGGCCTCGCGTCCGGCACCGACAACGTCCTATCTGCGTCTGATCTCATTAGCGGCGGGAGAAAGCCGGAGCAGCACAGCCTCCTTCCTCTGGAGTACACGCCGCCCAAGGCGTTGACGCAGGTGTCTTCCCACCTCGTGCACCTGGGCTCTGCCAACTTCTGCATCGCCAGGTTCTTCGAGACCGGCTTCTTCGACGCCGACGAACAACACAACCCGGAGCTGTTCGCTGTGTTCACCGCCGTCGAGGTGGAGCGCTGCGACGACACTGGAGTGCTCCGCCTCGTGAAGCACAAGTCGGAGATGTACAAGCTTATCAGCGAAATATATTATTGGGTGCTTTAATCAGCTATTACTCCCTCCGTTTCAGATTATATTTATTAAAATCAAATGCTTAATTTATATTGGGTCCGTGAGGGGACAGTAAAGTTCTTTGCTTAATTTATATTTCTTATTTCCCAATTTCCTTGTAAATCAGATGATATATTTTGCTTGGAGATATCATTGGTTTTTCCTTGTAAATCTTTTTACTAATTCATATCATTGGTTTTTCCTGACTGCAAATCACAGTTCAGGTCCTCTCATGTTGTGATTTAATGTTCAGAAGGCTATTATGGTTTATGGGTACTTGCTCTAATATAAATTTTGTCAAAATATATGTCGAAGTTACCATAATATTGCAGATTACTCTTTCATCTAATCCCTGAATTTTAGATTGGTGCACAGTGATTAGTTAGGTTATTTTCTGACTAATGCTGATAAAATCGACGTGTACACTCTTGTATGAAATGAACAGTTTCTACTATTCTATAGGGACAACCATATATCTTTGAGAATATTGATTTTATCCCCCCCCCCCCCCCCCGCACCACCTCCTGTTTGTATTTGATGATCCTTATAGAGACTGCTGTTGGCCTTGAATTTATCCCCCAACATTTGTATGCATGGAAATGTGGTGAAATTTTTTCCAGTGATTCATCAATATAATCTGGTGAGTTGATCATGAGCTGGATATAATCCAAAAGCTTCTGTTGATTTCTACCTATGTCCTTTCTGTTGATCGCTATAGGGTAGATTGAATGAGCTGGATATATCTTTCTGTTGATTTCTACCTATGTCATATTGCAGCATAGGGCCATAGGGGCCATGCACATTTATTTGTAATTCAGATGAACCTCATCCTGTGCAAATAAGATTGTTAAATGCTTTCTGTTAATGATGGACGCTCAACTATCAATTCTAAATTTGGGTGCAATGTGAATCAGGCCACATAGGTTCAGTTGGATCTGTTGAGTTTCATAAGGAAGAGGTGCCTATGCTCGCTGATTCATCAAACAGCTCCATCAAAGCTGTAGGGCTTGGGATAGACTAATGGTATGACGGAAATTAAAAATGATTACTATGGTCAAGGCATTTTTTTTTTGCTTATATTCTTCGATGCATAGATATTTGGTTGTATTGTTGACAAAAATATTTGATATAACATTTTATTGATTCACGCAGATTAAAAATTGATTTCACAAGCAAACGGAAGCGTTGTCTCTGCTAGTTTACTGGCTGAAGAGAGTACCAACTAACACAAGAACAGATCTAAGCATGGCACAAAACTTCTTCACTTTCCAGAAGAAGTTCAGAGAAAGACAGTCTCACCGTATCATGTCAGAGAAAACTTCAGCAGATTCCCAAGTGCATGTCCCTGAACTTCCGCTTGATTCTTCCTGGACCTAGGCTTTCCTGGGATTGAAAAATGGCATGCACATCTCATGATCAATAATATACATAATTTAAATCAGAATCATGTACATCTCATGGTCAACAATATACACAATCTAAATCAGAATAGTTTGCGCTCTCATCGATCCAAGGTTGCCACTTTAATTGCTTTATAATATTTTAACAATGTTGTTTTCTTCTCCATAGCAAATTAATAAATCAAAACGATGGAACATGAGGCTCAATTCTTGTAATAAATCTCATACTATTCTTGTTGAACTTCATTAGAATGATAGATTACATATTTACAGTGATTAAGCATATATAGCATTATAGAAAAAAAGCAATAGGACAAGAGTGCAAGACCATGACTAATTCAGACATTAATTCAGTGACTATTAACTATTGATTCACCGGGTGCTTAGTTGTTCTTCTAGCTGCTGTTGCTCGCCGCCTAATCTGCTAGCTGCTCGGCTGTCAGCGTCGGTGGTCTCGTTGCCCAGTCGGCAGTCGCCTGGTGCCTTGCGCCCTCGCCTGCTCTACCGCCATATGCTGCTCGCCGGCTCGCCACCGCGGCGCCCGGCTGCTGTTGCATGCCTGCGCCCGCCTCCACTTATTCGCTATCGCCGGCTCGCCGAAGCACCTCGTTGCTGGCTTGCTGCTTCACCCAACCACCCAGCCGCGAGTCCCCAACCCTAATCTATGGAGAGAGACGTGTGCGTGAGGTCACGGCTGCACCAGGATCGCATGACGATGACGCCCTGGATGGATGAGTGGGGACGACGTCTTTCAGCGAGGCGCCGCAGTGGCGATGGGGAGGAGAGCGCGGAGGAGGCGCGGTGGATGCCAGGAGCGGTGGAGGGAGCGGCGGAGAGAGGGATCGAGCCATCGAGGGCGAGAGATCGCGGTGGTTGTGAGGAACGAGGAGAGGTCGGCGACTCGGGGGGTGGGGAGGGGATGTGCGTGTCTGCCAATAGCACGCATTCTGAAGCGTTAGATATCTGGATCCAATGGGTACGATTGCGTGTGTCTGTCAGGGTTGGAGTCACCGCTACCACTACAGAATTTTAAAGTAATAGAGATACACGCTATCATTTACTAAGAAGGTGTTTCTTTTCCATCCTATTGTCACTTGAGGTGCCGTTGAGGAGGGAAGGTGTTGGAATTGCCAAGAAGGCTGAACTCCACCAATTGGTCTACCACTCCTTTGGCAAGATCAGCCTCAACCTGGGACTGTGGTAGTTTGACATGTTAATCAACTACCATCCTATGGGCTATTTGACTTGGTGTTGTAACACATTCTGTTAACAATGGTTTTCACTAATTAGCCCCAAAAGACAATAGATTGATTTTGTAAAACTGAATCATTATTAGCTTTCTTTTGTCAGTGCTATATATGGTCATAGATTAATGTGATCCATTACTTTGGTCACCACTTGGGACAACCATGCTCAAACCAAATGCAAGATCTTCCTTTGGATGGCGCACAAGCGACGTATCTTCACCAATGACAGGCGGGTGCGACGCGGACTTGCAACTTCCGCGTGCTACCCCTTCTGCCCCATCGACGAAGATGTGGAACATCTCTTCCTTAGCTGCTCCGGAGTGGCAGCCATTTGGCACTCCTATGGACTCGATGAACAACAAGTCGCCTCCCTAGCACATCTCGAAGACCTATGGGGTCTCCCTCCCCCTGACAATGCTCTCACCCCACGGATCTGGCGCACCATCTTACTCGCCGCCGTTTGGAACATCTGGAAACGCCACAACAACAAGATCTTCAACTCCATTGATGAAGCCCACTCGGTAGTTCTTCATCGTTGCGCCAACGATATCGAATTGTGGTCAAACCGATGTAACGACGTTGTAGGCAAACAACAACTTCACTCTTGGGCGCTAAATCTTTCTGTAATTAACCACTAATTTTTAGTTTCTTCCCTCCGTCCCTCTGTACCTCCCCCTTTGTAAAGTTTTTTTTTACCATATGAATAAAGTTCAGGCTGGTGTTCAAACCCGCCGTAGTTTCCCTTAAAAAAAAGATGACGTATGATATCTAAAGACAATACATACGTAATGCATATATAAAATTAGATTTTTGTTTTTTTATCGGCTCATAAGCTAGCTCCTATTATTTCAGCTATTTTGTCGTTTCGCATATCAACGAAATTTCACTGCATGATTTTTTCATCTTTTTGTGTACCATAAGCTACCTCCTGTATTTTTCAGCTATTACAATGTTTTTGGAGATTAACAATTATCATGTTTATCATCACGGTTTAATTCTCCCATGTATGTGTAGTAGCACAAATAGTTAAACACTATCTAGATTTTAGTTAAGCGGATATGCCAATGTGTAGCAGAATAGTTTAAAGCACTATCCACCTATCGAATAAGGTGGGCAAATTGCTTTCTTTTCCAATGTACTCATGTAACTCATCATGCATGTCGAATATTCAGTTTGATCATTTCAGATTCCATAGAGAATGTATGGATTTTTTTAAAAAAATTTTAGACATTTTTATTTTTTTAATTTTATTAATAGACATTTTCGAAAAATATTTTCAAATGTCACATCCTGATTTTTGTTTCAGGATTTATAAATTATTTAATAAATTCTTAATAGAATTTATATTAAATGTTCATTAATTTACAAGTGAAGTTAAATGTGGGAAATAAAATTTCCTAAATATAAAGCATGGATGGATTTAATTTTTTATTAAATTCTCCATGGTTAATTATACTCTCTGGAATATTCTCGGATTTTTTGGAGCTCAATTCCTAATTTTTAATCATACAAAGAGCATTTCAGTGATTACCCACATATTAAATTAATCATTAAATGGTCTAATTATAATTTTGTTAAGTACTTTGAGTGTCCAAGTATGTTCAAGATTTTTCTTGGAATTATTTGAGCATTGGAAGTATTTTTAACAATTCAAAGATCATTTCATTGATTAATTTAATTGGAAAAAGTAATAAAAATCCTCCTCCTCAGCTTGGGCCGAATCCAGCCCATTCCCTCCTTTCCCCTCTCCCTTCCTCTCAGCCCAGATAAAGTCTGTTTGACCTCCCTATCGCTACAGTACTCCATCTTCCTCCTCCAGACAGAGCCGAGCCAGCCGTGCTCGTGCACAGTGCCGCCGCCTCCTCCCACCAATCCGACCTCCCCATTGCTCCTCTTTCCAAATTAGTTGCGGGAATGGAATCCCCTCAATCTCCTCTTCCTTTTCCCCAAGAAATCCCCAAAATTTTCTATGGAAATTCTTTCCAATTTCGCGGATCAAATCCTTCCTTTTTCCGGCGAGAACCCTAGACTTTCCCGAGTTTTTCCCGTCGTTGTGGGCTTGATCCCGAGCTCCCGTGCCTATATAAAGGACCCCCTAGTCGTCCTCTACCCATCCCCTCAAGTCCCGTCCGCCGCCGTCGCCGGAAACGCTGTCCCCGCGCTCTCCTTCTCTCTCCAAACGCCGGCGCGCTCCAGCCGTCCCTAGACGCCGCCTCATCTGCCTCCTTCCTGCGCCGCCACCTCCATCGGCTCCGCAAGGTCGAGCTCCACCCCGGCCGCCGTTCCCCTTGCGCCGAAACTTCGCCGGAAGCCGTCCTCGCCATGAACCATTGGGTTGCTGTCATGTTCCGATCTCCAGCCGTAGCTAGCAGCCGCCTTAGCCGCCGCTTTTGGTCGCCGCTGCCGCCGTTGGGTTCGCAAGAAGGAGAGGGAGCCCAGCAGCCATCTCCCCGAAGCCGAAATCCACCAGAGCTCCATCGTCGCCGTCGCGTTTTGATCTCGGGCGAAGCCCTGCTGCTCCTCCCGTCATCGCCAAGCTTCGCCGCTGCCTCCATTGGATTCGCAGCTGCGAAGTGAAGCCCGGCCACCCCTTCGTTGTCGCCGCACATCGCCGGAAAGTCGTCGCCTCCGTGGACAGTACCTCGCCGCCCTTCGGAGCTCGTCGCCGGCCATCTTCTGTCGCTGCCCGTCATCGTGTAAGTGTTGGTAAGAATCGCCGTCACCTTCTCTACCTCCCGGTGCCCTCCGTTTGCATTATTGTACCGTGGTTCGCCGGCAACCGCCGCTCCTATGTCGTTCACCGGTGTAGTTTATCCCTAGAGTCTTAATTCCATCTAATCTAATCTTGTTTGGCCCTAGCGTCATCATCGTCTCCGTGTGTTGTCGTCGGACCGTAGCCGTCGCCTCTTCCTCTCCGTTCGCTACCGTTTCTCGGTGAGGCCTCCTCTCCGATTCCTAGGGTAGATGTTTATGTAAGCCACGTGTGTGTCGTCGTCGCTGTGTCGTAGCTGCTGCACGCCGTGCGGCTGCGGTTTGCCGTCGCTCTACCGAGCCTCTTAGCCACCGCTGCTTAGTCGCTACCGCGTCGCGCCTTGCCACGTTGCCCCGCAGCTGCTTGCCGTGCCGCTGCTGCGCGTGTGCCGGCTGAGCCGCTTAGCTGCAGCTGCTTGCCGCTTTGCCGCGCTGTTGCCCTAGAGGCCTAGACTTAGCGCAGCCGCAGTCCGTCACCGTGCTGCTATCATGCATCACTACCGCTGCCGCTGTTTGCCGCTTTGCCACAGCCGCAGCCGTGCCGGTTGCGTTTTTGCTCGCAGCCCTGCTGCTCTAGCCGTGCATGGTCGCTACCGGCTGTGCCGTCACCCTAACCCTAGCTGCGTGTTTCCGCCTAGCCGCCGCCTAGCCGAGTCAAGTTGTCTTAGTGCCGCCGTGTCGCAGCTGTGTGCCGCTTAAACCTAGCCGCTGCTTTTAGTCGAGTTGTGTAGCCGTAGGTGCAACCCTAGGTTCCTACCGGCCTATCGTTTGTCGTACCAGGGCTTTACCGTGAATCGTGTCTAGCCGACCGGTTTAGCCACAGCCGTTGTTGAGTCGTTCGCTCGTTCGTTCGAACGAGGTGTTCCCCGTGCTTCGTTCATTCGTCCGTGTTGAGTCGTCCTTTAGTTTAGAGCCGTTCAGAGCCGTCGGTTCTGTTCGCCGGTTTTGGTTGATCATTTAGGTGATCTCATGTCACGTGGAGTTGACTCGTTGAGTCGGTATCTCGTGAGGCTCGCTTGCCAGATCAATCCAAGCCATCCGATCTTAGTCGACTCGGTCAAGGTTAATCTCAGCTGTCCAAAATCAATATAAATCCTCTCCTCTTTTCAGTGGCATATTATTTCTTTTTAATATATGTCATCTACCAAATATGATCTAATCTTTTCCGGAGGTTGCTTTAATCTTTTATCTCCGTTATAAATCATTTGTAAATGATTTAATTAATTTGGAATAGTCTCCGTTTAATAGGTTTAATTGGAATTAAATCTTGTAAAATTCATAATAAATTCATATGAAATCAGAATGAGGCCGTTCAAGTCTCATAATTCATCTAAAATTATGATCTACATGTTTGTTTACTTTTTATGTATTGTTTATTTGGTTTTTATTAGTCTTTTCCTTGTTTTGCGTGTTAGCTTGTCGTTTCCGTCGTTGCGAAGGTTCGCGAGTGCGCCGGAAGTATTCAAGAAGATTAATTGAAGACCGATTATTGCAAGGCAAGTCACACAAATCCTAAACACAATCCTTTGAGCATGTTGATCCTATATTTAAATTCTCTATTTATTTCAACTGTGCATTTATTTTCGAATGTCATTGGGTGGAATTAACCTATTCTTTGTTATGGCCCTTTTGTTCTTGATTACTTTATTCCTTGATACCTTGGGTGATTATAATTGGACTAGTTGAGCTTTATATATATTGGTTCAACTAGATATTAGATATAATTGCTTAGCCATGCTTAGAAACATTAGCACACTATTGGGATAACTTATGACTCACTGTTATTTAATGATGGCTTAATGGTAGCTCACGATGGTTAATCGTGTTATGATAATTAATTGGTAATTAAAATATGATTAATGGTGGGTTGTGAGCACATGGTTTTGAAGGTCGTGCTCATGGCAATTAAGGACCGGTTCGCGAGCTACAGTTGTGAAACATTAACCGTGCCAACCACAAGCCAGCGTGAGCAACGGCTTTACCTTTTGTATAACATGATTCATTACGGAGCACCAGACTGAGAAGTGGCGGAGATAAGCCCACGGGGGTCGCTGGGGAGTCCATGCCTTGTTTTATAAGGGGGTGATTATGATCCAGGAATGGTGCACTGTGGTGAGTTGTGTTGTGCAGAGGGTATTGTCACAGCCTCTATTCGGGTACTTTCCAGTATCGCGACGCATGGTAGACATGATGTTGAGGCTGTGTCTTGTGGGTACAGTGGTACACCTCTGGCCAGAGTAAAACTATTCGAATAGCCGTGCCCGCGGTTATGGGCGAGTTGAGCAATGTTTTTCGTGATTAGTCTCACACCTCTCACAATGATTAATGATGTTATAACTGGTAATAATTTGCTTAGCTCCTGGTTTGGAATGGATAATTCCTGGTTTGGAGATTAGATCTGTACAGTCGGGTATGGTTGTTCAGGATGGTCGGGCCTGTGCAGCATGGGTGTGCTGTTCGGTGTTGATTAAAATTTCTGATTAACTACTCTACTGTTTTATTTCTCTTAAATGTTTTGCTAAACGCTGCTTTTGCAAATGAGCCTATATTATGCCATCCTTTGGTATCCTTGTGCACTTGCATATTTGCTGTGTGGCTTGTTGAGTATGTCATATACTCATTCTTGCAATAATCAATCAACCTCAGTTGAAGAAAAAGGATCCAGAAGGAGAAGACGTTTGGCTTATACCCCAGTTGAGCTGCCTGTGGGAGTGGAGCTGAAGCCATCGCTAGACCGTTTTTCCGCTGCTGTTTTCTTTTCTTTTGTAAGTGTGTAACGTTATTATTATGATGAATCTGTATATTAAATTGTCAGTTTGTGTACCTCGGCTGATTCCTGGACGAGGATTTTATGCACAAATAAGTTTGGAAATTACTTGTGAATTTCCGGGCGTGACATCAAATATGAACCTTTTAGCCACACTAGGGTTTCCCTTACCGCCGGTAACTGCGTGGTTACCACGGTGCTTACCGCGGGGGTACGGTAAGGGTTACCGGCGGTAAGGTTTGGGTGAAATTTGAGCAAATTCAAAAATTCCAAAAAAAAACGAAAAAAGCAAAAAAAAAATCATGGATACAGTTCTTGGTTTTTAATGCTAGATGGTGATTTTTTTAAAAAAACAAAGAGTAAGATAAAATCAAATTTGAGGGCAAAACCGATAATTGTTTAGGAAATGGAAAAACAAAAAAAATGTATTGGGCTTCATTTTTTATTTTACATCCACAAGTTAGGTTTGCAAGTATCATATATATTATTCTAATTATCCCTACTTTCTACACGCATTTAAGTGTTTTTTTTATTTTTTAGTATTTTTCATTTTTTTTCATGTTTTCTGCAATATCGCGGTTACCGCGTCAAACCGCGACCAAACCGCGAAACCGCCAATTTTTTAATTCAATTTTTTCGAGATGAAATTCACACGGTTTTTAGCGGTTACCGTTGGGGGGTAACCTCCCCAAAAACGGTAAGGTAAACCTGGGCGTGGCCAAATCACTTTGTCATGTCACACACAGTCGGCGTGGCAGTGGCAAGAGGCTGGCGTGGCAAAACAACGCTACCACACTAGCTACTTGGCTGGCGTGGCCAAAAATTTCAGTTTTCGGAAATATTTTTCGGAAATGTCTATTAATAAAATTTTAAAATAAAAAAATCCGAATATTTGCTATGTTGTCGCTAATGACCCCATTTGGACATGGTTAATAACTATGTTATTTACGCATGTGGCAATTTAATTAACAAAATAATAACTATGTCTATCTATCTTAAATTGTGTTTCTAAATGTCACTGTAGTGTTAACACAGACAGATTACTAGTATTCAATGAAATTGACACACCCTGTATCGGTTCTATCTATCTACCCTATAGTTCAACAAATACTTTCACTCATTCTTTCATTCATCACTCTAGGGTTCAGATTATTCGTATGAGATCCAACGCTCCTGATCTTCTCCTCCTCCCACCTCTGTATTCGCCGCTCTTCCAACCCCATCAGCGCCCAGATCGCTCCCCCTCCCGTTGCCCCCTCTCCCCCTCCTCTTTCTCGTACCCACCCGAAAATCACGCCGCGAGATCCCCAGCGCCAAACCCATCGTCCACCATGGCGACTCCTCGAACCCTCTAGCGTCGCCACTCAGTGCCACAGTTTGAAGGTGTTTTTTTTTGTGTGATTATGATGGCTCATGCTCTGTTGCAACGGTTGCTATGAGTATTGGACGAACTGATTAGATCTCGAGGAGAGGATCATGGCCTTGGTTGCCTCATCGTTATGCAGGTGGATCAAGTGTATTATTTGATTATTCAAGGCCGCATGCTCGCCGTCGACCCCAACACCCCTGGTGACGATCCTCGTCAGATCAAGGCCAAAAGCTGCCCCCCATCCTCTGTTCCACCCCTGCAGGTACAACGAATTTCCTCTCTTCCTTTTCATGTTCTCTTTAGCGTGTCATGATAGTGTATGTAGAGTTTATTCTTATACTCCCTCCGTTTTAATATATATGACGTTTCCGACAGCATCGAGAAAATTAAGGATAGAGCGATTTTACTATTTTGCCCTTCATCCCTTTTCATCGCAGTGTTCGCGCACGCCGGCTCCCTCCACTCCGGCTCCCTTGCCATCTCCCCCGCGCTGCCTCGACGCCGGCTCGCTCGTCGTCTCCCAAACGCCGCTGCTCGCGACCACAGGAGAAGGAACCCGCTGCACAACGCTCTTCCCGGACGCCGCGTCGCCCTTTCTTCTCAGACCTTCCCGGTGAAAGCGGCGTTGGAGCCTGAGATCAAGCGGTCCTTCTCGATTCAGTCCTCCTCCTTTCTCGTCTCCAAGCAGCATGTCCTCCCTGGACCTCGGCTCCTCACTCGTCACCCTCTCTGTAAGTGAGCTCCTCGATCTCGCCTTCTCCAACTTCCAGCTTGTTTTTTTTTTCTCATTTCCTCCAATTTTAATTGCCTCATTGCCTGGTTTTGCCCAATTTACAATTTAATCAGAAGGAGAGGAGAAGCCCTGGTTCTGGTTGATCTCCAGCCGAACGGCAAGAACGACGATGTCATCTGCAGATGCAGTACGTTCTGCTTGGTTTCAGCCGAGCGGCAAGAACAACAGTGGCGGCAGCAGCAAGCCCGACGTCCGGCTCCCTGTGCGCCATGCTGCCTGACTCTTGCTCGCCCCACAGGCCACAGCTCGGGGTGGGTTGCCGCCAAATTGGGGTGCGGCGGCGGCGCACGGGAGGCATGAACGGCAGCGGCGCGTGGGAGGAGGAGACAGTGGCGAGCGAGTCCGGTCGCGATGAGGACGAGGCAGCGCCGTGGCGATGTTGAGATGAAGGGCAACGATAGAAATTAACAAACGTGACTAGGACGAATGAACTGGTAGCGTCAAACAAAAAAAACGATTCTGATTTGCACTGTAGCGTCAAATAAAAAGAAACAGAGGGAGTACAATACAAAGATCAAAACAGACTTGGTGGTGGTGATTGTATTGACCATCAAGCAGGTAATTTTTCTTGTGATGTTCATGTTTACTATTATGTCCAAACTCCATAGACAACTTACACATTTAGAATTACATCTTGTATAGACAAATAAGTGTATGTATTAAAAATGTCTGAAGAAAATGGACTGTATGATCATAGTGCCTTTCAACCGTTGTTTTGTGCAATGTCCATGATATCTCCTCGAGATTAATCGATTTCTACTTTTGTACCATATGCAATGTTTAATTTTTAACTGCTCAGGCTCATGCTATTTCATATTTTGGTGCTTCTGAAGCGATCTATATTTCTTGATTCTTTGCTATCGTCCTGACAGTGCACCATAATTGTCAGAAATCTCCTAACCTGAAGCTAATATATTTCTTGTTTTAACTTCACTGATTCTTCATATGTTTCCTTTACTGAATAGAGTTTTGTTGAAAGCTACTCCCTCCGTTCCAAAATAAGTACAGCCATGGGTATCCGTATCTACGTTTGACCGTTCGTCTTATTTGAAAATTTTATGAAAAGATTAAAAAAATAGTCACGCATAAAGTAATATTCATGTTTTATCATCTAATAACAATAAAAATACTAATCATTAAAAATTTTCAAATAAGACGGACGGTTAAACGTTGGACACGAATACATATAGCTGCACTTATTTTGGGACGGATGTAGTATGTTCTATGGGGTCAATTGGTCAAATCAATGCATTTTGCTGGGAAGGTCGAAATCAGCCCATGTCTACCTGCCACAATGAGAAGGCAGCCGGTCAGCCGCCTACACAACAGACTCTTATATTGCCACCATCATAAGTTTATTTGTTAGTATGTACTACGTAAGAACTAACACGTTTATCCGTTAAAAAAAATAACCAACAAGTTTGCTTTAGTGATGTTCAGTGCAGTGCAAAAATGCCGCAAGTCATTGTGTAAGTTGTATAATGCAGTGACCAAATTAAGAAGTTTTCTAGCCTTCTGCATTCCTGCAGTTTTCTAGCCTTCTGCTTGATTCCTTCAACAAAAAATAAACGGATACACACATTACTAATCTATTGCAATCTGTATTTATTTTTCAATAATTCTGTTCCGTACAAGATACAGCAAGTTTGAGAAGTTCGAGAGGTACATGGGATTTCCTCCGCCTTTGAAAAACGTCTAATAGGTTCGAGAGGCGCTTGACATTTCCTCCCTCTTCAACAATGTCACACAGCTTGATTGGATGCTCTTTCTCATTATGGACAGCTGCTTGGTGGAGTTTTTTACCTAAGAAAACATATGTTTACCCTGTAGCAGGCTTGTGTATAGGAGAAAAAGGTGGAATTCTTAAAGGTAATCGTGGGGAGTTTTAGTTCTTTTTTGAAGATTTCTCTAACTGGTACTCCCTCCGTTTTATAATGTAAGACTTTCTAGTATTGTCCACATACATATAGATATATATATGTCTAGATTCATTAACATATAAATGAATGTGAGCAATGTTAGAAAGTCTTATATTATGAAACGGAGGAAGTACATACTAACCGTTTGGAGTTTTGGTCTCTCGTTACTCACTGTAAAAAACATAATGGTAAAAAACAATTTACTCCTAATGGTTCTCTCTTTATCCCATTGAACATTTTTATCGTTGTCTCATTGATTGCTATCAAAATGGAAAAACACTGGATGAGATGTAGGAGAGCCGCATTGATGGCACATTTTGAACCAGTGGCTCAGGATCCCTGATTCTCTTGATCGTATTACTCTATAAGGTGAGGAGGATGAAGCAGGTGAGTTACTCTATAAGACAATTATTTTTCTTTACAAAACCATTATTTTTGTGTGGATGTATATTGTCTCATATATTGGTATTGAAGTGATTTGATATACTTATTGACGGTATTGAATTAATATTTTTAGGTAATATAATTATTATACTTCGTCATAATATGTGAACCTACATCAAATTAAGGTTCAATCGGACGGATTCTAGGAAATTTATTTTTACTAGCATGTAATTCGTTAAAAAAAGTATTATGATACCGTAGCGTTAGCACGGGCAAATTACTAGTGGAAAAAAAAATGCACCAAGCGGTTGGCCAGGGATAGCAATTTGGGTTGCCAACATGCCATCTTCTTGCAATATTTATCCATAAGAAGTCGCAACATTGCTCTGGTAGGCTTGTCCAAGCCACATATATGTCATCACAAGTAATGCTATATCTTTTTTTTTTTTTGCAAACTACTTTTTCCTAATGTGTTGAGTCGTTGATACAAGAGGGAGTGTGATAAAAGAAAACGGATAAACCAAGACAGTGCATCTGCACGCACGCACTTAGAATTAGCACTTAGAATTTTTATTATTTCTAATTGTATTTCTATGTGGACTCTAAACTCATCTTTCAATATTCTTTAATTTTTAATTTCGAATTTCAGTTACTTTTAAATTGTATTCCTATATATGTATTCCTATATTGACATTAAACTCTTATTCCCATGTTTTTCTTAATTTTGAATTTTAGTTATTTGTAAATTGTATTTTTATACGGACTCTAAACTCTACTTTTAATTTTATTATGTTTATTCCAAATTTTAGTTAGTTTTAAATTTCTATATGGACTCTATAATCTACTTCTAATAATCCTTATTTTTTAATTCCGAATTTCTATTTTTTTTTCTTAATTGTATTTCTATATGGACTTTATACTCTATTTCTAATATTCCTTATTTTTAACTCCAAATTTCTTTCATTTCCTAATTGTATTTCTATATGAACTATATACTCCTCTTCTAATATTCCTTATTTTTAATTCCGAATTTCAGCTATTTCCTAATTGTATTTCTATATAGACTCTAGTCTCCTCTTCTAATATTCCTTATATTTTAATTCCGAATTTCAGTTATTTCCTAATTGTATTTCTATATGGACTCTAGTCTCCTCTTCTAATATTCCTTATATTTTAATTCCGAATTTTAGTTATTTCCTAATTGTATTTCTATATGGACTCGTTTATTCCAAATTTTAGTTAGTTTTAAATTTCTATATGGACTCTATACTCTACTTCTAATAATCCTTATTTTTTAATTCCGAATTTCTATTTTTTTTTCTTAATTGTATTTCTATATGGACTCTATACTCTATTTCTAATATTCCTTATTTTTAACTCCAAATTTCTTTCATTTCCTAATTGTATTTCTATATGAACTATATACTCTACTTCTAATATTCCTTATTTTTAATTCCGAATTTCAGTTATTTCCTAATTGTATTTCTATATGGACTCTAGTCTCCTCTTCTAATATTCCTTATATTTTAATTCCGAATTTCAGTTATTTCCTAATTGTATTTCTATATGGACTCTAGTCTCCTCTTCTAATATCCCTTATTTTTTAATTCCGAATTTCACTATTTTTAAATTGTATTTCTATATGGACTTTGTTTTTTCTTTTTCTTCTTTTTCTCCGATTAATATGAGAATTTCTAGGCCATGAGAGCGAACGTGGAGGCTCTTTTTTCTATTCCTTTAATTATATAATAGATATTTGGAGGAACTAATCTCGTTTTTGTTAAGACGTGACGATGGTTTTGGGTCCATAATAGCGTTCGCTTCGAGAAGCAAGTAAGCAACTAACTCTCGCGACCCATATTCCTCATAATCATAAATCATTTTATGCCTCGTCTCCAACCGACTCGCCAATTCGAATCTTCTTCTAGAAGCCGAGAGGCGGTTTCAAACAAATTCCTCGAGCTCGAGCTCTCGAGCACCCCAACCAAAAATGGCGCCCGGCCGGTTCGTCACCAGCAGCATGGAGGCCTTCTCCAAGCTGGTGATGATGCCGATCGCGCGCCACAGCCCGCTTCGCCGCCACGCCATGAGCGCCGCCAGCGAAATCCTCACCGTCAGGCGAAGGATTTCTGACCGCTCCGACTCCGAGCTGGTGTGCGGGCACCCTCCATGCCGCCACCGCAGCAACGCCCCGAGCGCCGCCGGGCTGCCTCCACCTCGCTGCTGCTGTGATTCCACGGAGGAATTCGCGGCGGGGAGAGGATTCATTCGGCCTCGCCTCGGGCTCGGCAACCTCCTCGTCGACGTTCGCCTCGGGCTCGGCAACCTCCTCATCGACGTCGAGAGAGAAGGGAGCGATCGCCGCGCCGACACGGGGCCGTCTCCACCTCGCCGCTGCGATTTCACGGAATTCGTAGCGGGGAGTCGCTTCATGCGTCGTCGCATCGGGTTCGGCGATCGCCGCGCCGACGCGGGGCCGCCTCCACCTCGCCGCTGCGATTCCACGGCATTCGTAGCGGGGAGTCGCTTCATGCGTCGTCGCATCGGGCTCGGCGATCGCCACGTCGACGCGGGGCCGACTCCACCTCGCTGCTGCGATTCCACAGAATTCATCACCGGGGGACGCTTCATCCGGCGTCGCGTCGGGCTCGGCGACCTCGTCGTCGAGAGCGCCGCCGTGGGGCCGTGTCCACTTGGCTGCCGCGATTCCACGGAATTGGTGGCGGCGCGGATACGCTACATTCGGCGTCACCTGGGCAACCTGTTCCTTGAGGCGGTTGGGAGGATGAAGCCGCCTGACGAGATCATCTTCAGTATTTGCCTGGATCATCGCCTCCTCTCCTCGAGTCTCCCTCCTCGCCGCCTCCACGGCATCCTCTCCCAGGGCTCCGCGCCGCCGCCGGATCTCCGCGGCGTCGCTGGTCAGTACCAACTCGCGGCGCTGAAACGCATGAAGCGAATCTTGTGGAGGGCAACGCCGATGGCATCAGAATTCAGAGCCTCAGCCAAATCACACCGTGTCGTAGAAATCCATGGCGAGCCACCCGAACAAGAGAGGATTGGACTGCGTGTGTTGCTGCGGAGGCAATCATCATCGCCGCCACGACGACACCAACCACTGAGAGCAAGCGCTAGCCATCTGCAGGTCCTGAGGAGGTGGTGTTCAAATTCACATGTCCCCAATGTGCCACCATCGTCGTCGTCGCCGCCGCCGCCGCCGTCGCCGCCTCAGCCAACTAATCCTGCTGATTTTTGGTAAGCTTCATTACCCAATCTATTAATTCAAGAATGGAACTGAAATGCAATTGAACGTTGTATTTGTAGTCAGATTTGTTATTTTTACTTCAACTTGTCTAGGATGAATTCAATTTTGCATGTTAGTGCATCACACAATTATCTGTGCTGTCATTTTCTTTTCAGAATTTTTCATTACCATTTCAATCACATGCAAAGAATAAGTGAATTTTCCCCATGTTCTAATTCCTTTTGAACTCTGTACTTCTGTTTATTAGGAAAATTAACACTCCTCTGAATCCTAGTGCTACTAAAACTGAGAAGAGTACAATTGATGAAACACTTCTTCAGCTGAAATTCGATCCAAAAGAGTTTGCTAGATGCAATAAGTTGATGGAGACATACAATGTGTTAGGTCAAGAATGGACATTCACTAAGCTGAAGGAACAGACCAAATATCTCTTTGATTCATTGATTGTGCTGGTTGAGTCGTTTCACGAGGCAGGCTATTGTTTCTCTCAGATATCCACAAGCACCGTTCTGGTAACATCATCTTGGAAATTTGTTCTGCTAGAGGGGTGTTTTGCTCTTAATAACTGGAGTGTTGAAGGGGTTAGAAAGGACTACAGAGATATTGCTGTTTTGTTCAGGAAGCTCCTATCCGAGTCCATGGGTGAAGAGACAGTTCATCCCCCTGATTTTGGGATGCTACTCAGCTTGATGGAAAAGGATGGCTTTCGGTACAAGTACTTGATTGGTACTCACGTATCATTGTTACCTGATGATAACATTAACATTGCTTATATGAAGATTCATGAGTTCATTCGGAAAATTTTGCTGGCTGAAGAGAAGGATAAAGCCAGGCAACTGAAACTCGGTATAACACGTTACAGTACAATTAGCACAAGAATAAGAAGACGCATTCCTTACAAGAATATCTGGTTGACCAAGGCTCGAAGCAATTCATTCATGACAGCATTCTTGGAGCAAAACGAAAGAAATATGGAGTTAGGAGGGACATATTTTGAACTGCTTGACACTATTAGACATTTCGTATGTCACAGGCTGGACTTGCTGAAGCTCGGTTTCAGATATAAGGCAAACGAGGTAGACCGCATGTGGTATGCAGAGTTTCCTACACTTTTAGCTGAGTTGCAGTTAGCTCTGTTCCTGGTTGGTCGACTTGAAGAACTGGAATTGGAGAAGAACTTTATGAACAGAAAACCAATGCGACCCAAAGTGTCAAGCCATGGTACTTTCTAACTTTCTATTCATTTCACTTCCTCCTCACCCCCCCCCAACGCCTTCTTTTTTTTTTGTACAATATGCTTGCCTGCAGTTGATTAATAAGTTCAATGAAATACCCAGTGAATAAATTCAATGAAATAGTAGGGGACTTGAATTAATGCAGCTTGGTGTGCATTGGGACATTTTGCTGCACATGCTAACACCCTACAATAACTCTGGCAGAATCTTACTCGGAGCAGCACTGACAAGGATGAGGTCACAAAGGCGTGCCTCTGGAAGGATGATTCATGAGTTGAGATGCAGAGAAAAACAAAAACTAACCTGGTAATTTTGGATGCTTGTTCCTGGATATGTTAGTGAAGTTGATAGCTCAAGCCCTTTGAGTTCCAGGTCTTAGTACGTTCTACTGTATGTTCCCTGTTCAGGATGAAATGTATGTTGCACTTTATTTGCCCTGAGTTGCAGTCCTGTTAACATGAGGATGCCAAATGGCATGATGTTGATAATAACTTGGATGCTGAGTGATCCTCCAAGTACAAGAAACTTCTTGGTTCGGCACTAGTTCAAAGGGTGGTGGTAGTTCATATCTTTGCAAATCCTTGTTGCTGTTGTCAGGATTGGTTTTGTTTAGCTTTCTGAATTTTCAATCATTGACAATCTTTAGCTATTATTTGCAAGAAATGCCATGTTACCATGTCCCTCTTTGCAATTTCATCTGTGCAGCAGTCTCTTCCACTTCTTTATAAATTTTGATATAGTTTTCACTAACAAATATAGTTTTTGCTGTATTACTTGGCTACGTTCAATAGGATGGGTTGGGCACGGAAAACGGATCAGTTCATTAATGTGTGATCAATTAAGTATTAGCTAATTTTTTTTTCTAAAAATAGATTAATTTGATTTTTTTAAAACAACTTTCGTATAGAAACTTTTTACAAAAAATACACCGTTTAGTAGTTTGAAAAGCGTACGCGCGGAAAACAAGAGAGAGGTTGGAAACCTTCATGTTCGAACGCAGCCTTAAGTAGGCTGTAGTTCCGAAATTTTACTGTTTTGACCTGTCAAGCATAATTAATTATATGCATTGCTATTTGACACTTCGTTTTGAGGAGGACTGACTAAACGTTGCTATTATATCAGTATTATACATCTCAGTATTAACAAGGTGTTTTTATTCTTGTCTGAAACAAAAAAGTGTTTACATTCAAAAGGAAGTAGGTTGAGATTCATTAGATTATTATTCTTTTTCAATTCCTTTTTCACATGCAACGCGTTTATGTGCATTCGTTGGCTCGTTGCCCCGTCGCCAGAAATTCGTGACTCGCCCAAATGCCCAATCCCGCGAAGACATCTCAGTATGTAATGTGCTTTTGCCCTCTTTTACGATGTACTAAACGGGTGGAAATGCCTTTTGGGCTTTGGCTCAGCGATGGCTCGGCACGGTGGCCAGGCAGCGCGAGGAATGGCCCGGCGGCGGCGGAAATCGACAGGGCGACGATGACGACCACTATCCGGACTCCGGGCTGCCAAGAGAAGGAGTGTAACGGCTCAAAGACCATCTAAGGATGCTACACGAGTGAGGAATTGCGCCGAAGCTCACCCGGGATCAAGGAATCGACGACCACGGCCAGCGGCCGGAGTTGAAGAAGAAGGGCTCGATCTCCTCGATGGCGACGCCTCAGCTCGATTCCTTCGATGGGCTTGCTACTGGGATCTTGGCAATTCTCGTGGCGCGAAGCCTCGGCCTGAGATCCACCGGATTGACGGGAACGGCGACGCTATCCACGGCGGCGCTCCAGGCTTGCTCCAGAACAGCAATAGCAAGGTCCGTGTTCCGGAACATCGACTGCATGAAATCGACTGAACTTAAGGGGAATGGAACCAGCACTGAGAGGAGACAAGGGAACGAACAAGAGATCGAGACAACCGCGGCTCAATCGGCGATGGCGACGGTCGTCATCCTTGCGGCCGGCGGCAAGAACTTGAGCGGCGGAGAGGCAGAGGCTCTCCCTCTCGAGCTGCTCGGTTTTGGGAGGGAGTAGGAATGAGGGCGATGCAGTTGGGAGGAGGAGAAAGCGAGCTCAGCGTGTGACACGTCGAGGCCACGCGTCGAGCGCGTCCGAGAGAGATCGGCGCCGGTTTTCCTTTTCTCCCTCGTGTTGAGCGGTGAGAAAATGGAAATGGACAGAGGCTGGGTTAGCTGGGGAGGCTGCCAAGTGGGTCCAGAGCGGTGTACACTAGGTAGGCAAGAGGGGTATAGGTTTGAGTTTGAGTGAACAATGAATTTAGATGATTTTCAGGATTATTTCTTTTCCCATCTTTGTTAATTCATATATTAATTTGTGGTGCAGATGAGTTCACGTGAATTTTATTGGAGGTAGATGAATATACCTAGTTTTTATTTTCTTTGGTTACACTCAAAAATTATAAATAGATTGCTCATAGAAATTAGGAGATGACGAGCTTATTGGAAGCTAGTTTGAATTTTTATGAGACCTGAAATGAGAAGTAAAATTCTAGAAAAATTATATTTAGCCATGATAAATAATCTAGTATTTAAATAATTTATCTCTCATGTATAATTCTATGCAGTTCAATACATATTTTGGTTAGGTATGGTAAAAACTACAGTTAATCTATTTTTTGATTAGTTTGATTGATTTATTTGAGATATCAAATGTAGATATTAAATTATACCAAAGTTACAGTGAATTAAATGTGGTGATCATAGCCTACATTAATTTTTTCATGATTTTATCTTGCACAAATTATTTTAGATAATTAGTAAGACTTATCTTTATATATGTTTCCCATTTCTAAATGCATGTAAATGTTTATAAAATTTATATCTGGACTCCTCTTAACCTGAAGGGGTAATATTAGACTTCTTTTTCATGTCTTCAATATTATTACTCATGAACGCTTTTAGGTTTTGCTTAGTGAACTTATCTTTTAATCATGCTCATGAGACCTAATATGAAATGCAAACAAAGATCCAAATGCACTAGAAAGACTCAAGTTAAACCATTCATATGTGAGTATGCATGTCTACACTTGTGTTTGCATTTATGTCCTAGGTTAGAGATGAAAAGGTTTTAATTTACCCTCAAATTTTATTCATGCAAGAGTTAGATCAACTTCACCTAGGTTTAGAATGGAAATTTTTGGTTCACAAAATTGAAGAACTTTTTGATGGAAATTCCTCGCTCCTAGAATTCGGGTATGTTACATGATCGTAGAGTCACCAACCACCCCAACCCAGCAAGCGTTAAGTCAAGATGGGTTTTGATAGATTAAATCGGCTAGCGGAGCCGATTTAGATAGAACGATAGATAACTACCCGTCTCGTAGGCAAAACGGAATTTTTCGCTGCGGCAGTGGACGATATACAGCGCAAATCGACAAAGATGGACAAACCAAACTAGAACTAATTCAAAGTACAAAGCAATATTGAAAAAAAACGATTATTTTGATTGATTGTATGATCTTTTACAATTGAACCAGCCTTGTCCCTTATATAGGGGTTGGTCTTGTCCTCTACAGGTCCTCCTCCACGTCCAACTTGGATAGAAACCAAAGGAAACCCAAAACATACCTTCCCGAGTAAGGAAAACTCGAGACCCGATAAAACAGACTTGGGCTCGAACTCTGTCGGTCAGATCGGTCACAAGCCGGTGGTCTGACCGGAGTTCAGGCCGCGGTCTGACCAGCCTATACAAGGCGACCGGTCTCCTAGAGGAAAACACCTATTTGAAACTTGGGTGTAAACAAGTGAGTATAAACATTAATGAAGAACCAGTTTTATATTTAAGACTGAGGGGTTTGAGACAGGATGACCCTCCGTCAACTTGGTAGGGATGTTTTGTCTAGGATTTTGAGCTCTGCAACAGAGAGGGGATTTTAAGCTCTGCAACGGAGAGGGATTTTAGAGCTCTGCAACAGAGAGCGGGTTTTAGAAGGACTGGTTCTAAATATTGTGAATGAGGGTTTATCACACTTACACTAATTTGCTAAAAAATAAAGATGTGATGACACTAAAGTTTTTTCTCTAATGTTTTGAGTAAATGTCAAGAATGAAAATCCATTATCAGAAAAGTGAGTTACTGTGATGAGGTGAGTAAAGAGAGAGAACCAAATTGCATATATGCTAACTTGTAAAGTGTGGGACTTCCCAATAATTTTATTTGGGGCTACCATAAAGTGGAGAGAAGATTGGTAAGAAAGAACTCATGATTGTGGGGGTGAAAAATGTGAAGATATTAAACTCTTGGAAAACCGACTACTTATCTTATGGGGAAGAGAAATGCTAATAAATTCATATTTGTCAAGCATAGGTCTATGTATGCAGTGGGCTTTTATAGGCTACCTGAGAGCATTCACAACAAAATGGACTCTGTGAGGGGAAGATTTTATTGGAAGGAAGTGGATAAAGAGAAAAAATATCACATGGTTAAGTAGGAGGCTTTATGTAGACTAAAAGTATTGGGGACTTAGGTTTTTTTGACACAAGAGTTATGAATATATGTTTATTAAGTTAATGGATTATTAAACTGGAAATTGATAGTAATGATTTTTGTTTGGAAGTTCATAAACATTAATGGAGAACCAGGTCCATATTTTAAGACCGAGGGGTTTGAGACAAGGTGACCCTCCGTCAACTTGCTACATGATGTTTTCTCTAGAATTTTGAACTGTGTAACAAGAGATGGTGGTTGTAGAGGATTTTGAGCTTTGCAAGTAACAAGAGAGATGGTGGTGGTAGAGGATTTTGAGCTTTGCAACCGAGGGGGTTTTAGAGCTATGCAACAGAGAGCGGGTTTTAGAAGTACTGGTTCCAAATCTTGTGAATGAGGAGTTTATCACACTTACAATACATATAATTTTGTTTGCTAAAGATAAAGATGTGATGACACTAAAGTTTTTTATCTTCTGTTCTGAGTAAATGTCAGGAATGAAAATCAATTATCAGAAAAGTGAGTTATAGAGATGAGGTGAGTAAAGAGAGAGAACCAAATTGCAGATATGCTAAATTGTAAAGTGGTGGACTTCTTTATAATTTAATAATTTATTTGGGACTACCGTCGAGTGGAGAAAAATTGGTAAGAAAGAACTCATGATTGTGGGGGTGAAAACTGAGAAGATACTAGATTCTTGGAAAACCGACTACTTATCTTATAGGGAAGAGAAGTGCTAATAAATTCATATTTGTCAAACATATGCAATGGGCTTTTATAGGCTACCTGAGAGCATTCACAACAAAATGGACTCTGTGAGCGGAAGATTTTATTGGCAAGGGAGGGGGTAAACAAGAAAAAAATATCACATGGTTAAGTGGGAGGCTTTGTGTAGACCAAAAGATATTGGAGGGTTGGTTTGTTTGACACAAGAATTATAAATATATGTTTATTAAGTAAATGAATTACTAAACTGGAAATTGACAATAATGATCTTTGTTTGGATGTTATTAAACATTAATGGAAAAACAGGTCCATATTTCAAGACTGATTGGTTTGAGACAGGGTGACCATCCGTCAACTTGCTAGGGGATGTTTTTTTTTTTGGGATTTTGAGCTCTGCAACAGAGATGGGGTTTTAGAGGATTTTGAGCTCTGCAACAAAGGGGGTTGAGATGGGGTTTTAAAGGATTTTGAGCTCTGCAACAGAGGAGGTTTTAGAGCTATGTAACAGAGAACGGGTTTTAGAAGGACTAGTTCCAAATCTTGTGAATGAGGTTTTATCACACTTACAATCTGCATGCATATGATACAATTTTGTTTGCTACAGATAAAAATGTGATGACACTAAAGTTTTTTCTCTTCTGTTTTGAGTAAATGTCAGTAATGAAAATCAATTATCAGAAAAGTGAGTTATATTGATGGAGTGAGTAGAGAGAGAGCCAAATTATAGATATGCTAAATTGTAAATTGTAAAGTGGGGGACTTCCCAATAATTTATTTAGGATTACCATTTAGTGGAGAGAAGATTGGTAAGAAAGAACTCATGATTGTGGGGGTGAAAACCGAGGAGAGATTAGACTCTTGAAAAGCCAACTACTTATCTTGTGGGGGAAGAGAAGTGCTAATAAATTCATGTTTGTCAAGCATAACTATGTGTGCAATGGGCTTTTATAGGTTACCTGAGAGCACTCACAACAAGATGGACTCTGTGAGGGAGAGATTTTATTTGCAAGGAGGGGATAAACTAAAAAAAATATTAAGTGGGGGCTCTATGAGGAGGAGATTTTATTGGCAGGCGAGGTGGTAAAGAAAAAAATATCACATGGTTAAGTGGGAGGCTTTGTGTAGACCAACAGATATTGGAGGTTTAGGTTTCTTGGACACAAGAGTTATGAATATATGTTTATTAAGTAAATGGATTACTAACTAGAAAGTGACAATAATGATATTTGTTTGGAAGTTCTTGGAAAAAAATACATGCAGCAAAAGGGGTTCTTTCAGAGTTATGAGGTAGGGGGTCATAATTTTAAAAGAGTTTGCATGAGATCAACTTTTGGGTGAATAAGTTTCAGGAAAAGAAAGTCAACAATAGTGAAAGTACTTATTTTTGGGAGATGTTTGGTGTGATCATGTTCCCTTAAAGAATCTTTTTCCTTACCTATATAATGTAAAGGAACAACAAAGGGCTACAGAGAGGTGAAAGATGATGGGGGCTGGAAACTCTCTTTTAGAAGAAACTTACAGGGGATAATTTGAGAGATCCAAAAGAACTAATGATAAAGGTGGAGGGGGTTTGTTTGACTGACAAGAGAGATGAGTTGATTTGGCCTCTAGAAAAGAGGAAGAACTTTACAGCCAAATCACTTTATAGAGAAATATTTTTTTTTTGGGGGGTGGGGGGTGATAGATACTACAATGGTCACCTTGTGGAAAGGAAAACCCTTGAAGTTAAACATTTTCTCTTCCCCATAGCCGCATTCCTCCACTGCCGCCGAACCATGGCACTCTCTCGTTGCCACCCTCGTCCTCTCGACTCTCATCGCCGGCGTCCATAGTTGCCCATCTCCACCATCCAAGCTAGCCAATGAGTTCCCCGTCCTTCACTCGTTCTTCAACCGTTTCTCCTACCTGCCACCATTCATCGGCTCACTGTCG